AGATCTCACATTCAAGTGAGCAAAACTAAAAGATTTAGACATTGAACTTTGATTCAGCAGAGAACAAAATAATAATAATGCAATGAAATCAATCTAATTCACAAGTGAGAAAACAAAATAAATGAATCGACACAAGTGTACAAAAAAAGGCGGAAAAGCACTATCAACCGCTTATTTATCTTGTTTAGTGGAATTAGTCCGGGTGGAATGGACTCTAAATCTGAGATTTCGTTTGGCAGATGTCTCCTCGGGGAAAAAACGATCTTTTATTATATTTGCTCCTTCGTCTAATCCTCTGAGTGCTTTTCGCTACGCAAAACCTCGGGTTTCGTTTCCAAGTCTGTTAAAGAATATGTGTTTTTATTGATGACCAGTAGATTATTCCGTATAGTCGCTTTTATTCCGTTTTCTTTGGCGGTATTGAGATGTTTCCTCAGTGACCTATGGACAAACTGTTTTTGTTCTTCAGTTTATGGGTATTTCGAAGTATCTCCACTTTTTTCCAAAAGGACAGCAATTCAATTTTCAATATCTTCCTATTATCTTTGTTTGTGAATATGAATAAGTTATTCAAGTCATACAGTTCAATTTGTATTTCTAGCAGGCTACTTTAGTAGAGCAAGTGCTTCTAGTTTATCTTCGAGTTGGATGCCAAACACCACTAGGTTATTTCGACGAATTCTGCGATCCAGTGATTGTATCTCTTTTTTCTGATGAGCGTTTTCCTCTTCTAGAAACGATATTTTTTGGTTAACGCATGCTACATCCTTTTTAAATTCAGCTAGTGTTTCCTGTGTTTTGTCAAATTTCCTATCGAAACCTTTAAGGAAATTGAAGATATCAGCCAAAGAGGGATCCTTAGACCCATCAGGTGTAACGTTAGTCATAATGTTTACAGCAAGCTCCCGTGCTAATGATGATTTTGGGCCGCGTTGTTATCGCCAGGCTACCTTTTTGTTCAGGACCATTCGATGTTTGTCTAGTTTGGAATGGTTTTGGATGATGTTAAGTTATCTCAGAAATAACTAATTTGTCCAATAACTAAGTGAAATTACGTGCTCATCTTTGGTGTATTGGTAGATTTACAGATGAGCAACGGGACACTTCAATAACGAGAATTTTGCATGGATATAAACCAAAGAAAAAGGTATATAAGCCGGAGCACGAACAGACTGCCAATCACTTCTACTGTACTGTACTACTGTATATAGGTAGCGAGAGTGACTACGTTAGGAAACTTATCAAGATGAGTACATTGAAAAAGTTATGCCGCCAAACTTTTTATTTTTACAACAATCAGTAGGTACATGTATGCGTTTGATTTCCCATCAAACACTTTGAAGGTAAATAGCATATTTGGAGGAATTGCTGAGAATTGATCAATAATAGCTTTTTACATACCAGAATTTTGAAATAGATTATTACGGCACAAAATTCCAACAGGACAAGTCTACAGTTACCCGAAAACACTTAACATACATCTAGTTACAAACCTTTTCAAAAGTTTGAGGAAACATCCTAGTCCGGAGGTACTGCTACTGACCTCTGCAGTATAAGAAACTGTCATAATAGTAAAATATCGACGGGATGTACACTGCAGTAAAGTAATTTGTCAAATATTTATAAATATCCTCATACGAGTATAACAGAAGTTAGGATAATACCAGTCTTAATCTTATCAATTTAAACCAAGTGAACTGATAATAATGATTCGCTACATTTAAGAATCTTGAATCGATGTAGTACATACAAAAATATATTGATATGTCACAGAAATAAAACCATCAACAAATAAATAGGTTATTTTAACAAATACATGAACGTGAATACTGAGATAGAAGGTAAAAACGTCAGATAACCACACAATTATTCATTTATGTATAGATAAATTTTTATTTTCTACTTTCCTACCATTTCTCATACGTTTCCGGAAAATATTTGCTCAAGTGAGCGAGAATCTTTCAAATATAACTAGTAAACTACTAGTACTACTAATACTACTACTACTATTATTGTCAAATCAGTTAGCATGACTGGTTCTTTCTACTCGTTCTACTGAAGGTTGATTCGAGTCCAACGGAACGATTTTGAATTTTCACTGCGTACAGCCCGACCCATGATAGGAAGGAATCACACGTTTGAAGGTAAGATCTTGTCAATCCTTAGTTCTCAAAAGTTTCCACTTCTGAGTATTGTTGTTCATGGAGGAGTTACAGCTAGTTAACGGAAAAACAGATTTCAACAGATTGGGGCATGGAGGAAGATATACATCTACAAATCTTTAAATTATAGTCATTTTTCAATATTATACAACTGTTAATTTGATTTCAACTAAGATATTGTTAGGTTGGTGAAGTCGCAATCTGCTTATTTCCCAGGTCTAATCAAAGATCTTCACTAGGTCCTCAATCGGATAGCGATGGTGTCGAAAGGGAGAACAGAGGAACAGAAATGTTTTAGAAGACTTTTGAATCATCCTACTGATCGAGACAGTCAGTCAATAGCTTCGCGGTTTATTCTGGTAGGGAGACTTTCACAATGAAAATGGTTTTGACGTTTTCCATATATATTTTGTGATCTTACGATGTTACAAAAGGGATGATGTAGAATCTAATTACAATAAATTGCTTTCATATACTCTTTTGGACACTCAAAATAGGTCTATGTAGTATCTCAGTTAGAACATAGTATTTATATGAGTTTGAAATTCGTTTTCCCTAAACCAGCTGCCTCCCTAGAAAACGACAAACCTGAAGGACATAAATGTGTCTAAACTAAGGATTGACGATCCCTACAACAGGACAGTCAATATGTGCAGAACGAAGGATTGACATCTCAGAAAACCTGTTGACATACTCACCTGAAGTGAGCTGTACAAGTCAACAAGGAAAGCAAGCACCTGAGTCAAACCCCAATCAACTGCGCTACTAATAACCCATAATCAATATCACATTCGGTAGCTTTTTCAAACGCTCCAATAAGGCTATATATTCACTGTTGATGGTATTTTCCTTCTCAAGATAGTCGATGAATATTATCCCACGCACATCCCAAAATACCGAAAGCACAACCGATTGTTGTGCTTTTGGACACTGGACGAGGTTCACCAGTTGCTCTTCACTCAGATGACGATCGTTTTGATTACGGAGTGAAGTGATGGATCAATGTTTCATCCATTGTCACATATCGACGCAAAAATTCCGGTTTGTTATGTTCAAACATAGACAAACACTGCTCAGAATCATCAATTCGTCGTTGTTTTTGGTCGATTGTGAGCACGCGCGGCACCCACATTGTGTATAGAGCGTTCTCATAGTGAAATGCTCAGGCAGTTTAGAGCCAATACGTTCTTTTGATATCTTTATAATGTCAGCTAACTCACGCAACTTCACTTTTCGATCATTTAAAACGATTTTGTGGATTTTTTAATGTTTTTGGTGCTACCTCATTTGGACGACGTCCACTACGTTCTGCATTATCGGTGTCTCTACGACCACGTTTGAAATCAGCAAACCAACATTTAATTGTTGTTTCTGATGGAGCGGAGTCCTTATAACACTTTTCAAACCATCGCTTCGCTAAAACGGCATTTCTCCTATCAAGAAGCAGTGTAAAATCAATACACAAAATTGTTTTTTCAATTGTATTGAAAATAACAAAAGTAGTGTCATTCTTAACACAACAACTAACAAACTTACTAATTGATGAAGCGGACTTTTCAGCCCATGTAGTATTTCTGAAAAATTTGTGGAAGTAGACAGAGGAATCAAACTAGGCACCAACAGTTTCAACAACATACCAAGACAACCCATAGCCGAATCTCCGCCTTACGTCTACTACCGGGCCTACCCGCCTACTGTGATCTCCTCGACGATGTACCACCACCACCCGCCTGTGAAGGTAGGATATAGTCAATCATGCCTTATTATCATTGTCCAGTTGATCGTTATCTATTACAATGGTCTTTCTCCGATGTCACCTCCTAGCCTTCATGTGTTTGTGCAACAGACAGTGCACGAACCGGAGAGGGGCAGGAAGAGGGGATTCGAAATGAAGCTGGACTGAGTTCTCCGGTTGTACCCACACACTTTCCAAAAGAGGTCTTGTGCTTTCACTTATCCCCTCTTCGCTCTCTCCGCTTCATCAGTTTTAGCGGAAGATGACCGTTTGGCGGGAGTTGGTCGTGTTCCGCTTGATTAGAGGTTTCCATATGTTGCGTATCTCTACGCTAGCTTGGCTAAATGCGTTGTTGTACAACATATATGCGGCTTCTTTGAATTTTCTCCTAAACCAGTGTTCCTCCTTGTGGATGATTTCATCTTGAGCCCACTTGATGTTATGTTGATGAGTCCAAACATGCTCTGCTATTGGAGTTGAAGGTCATTTTTGATGATGCCTAGTTCCTTTTCGAGACCTTGCTTTTGACCTTCGTTTGACAAATTCTACCGACTGCCCCAGTTTTCATCGTGGCTTTGCGAAAAACTTTGCAATTGGAAATTTACGTTAGTCGGTATAACACAAAGAACAAGTAAACAGGGACGATAGACGTCATTACAAATAGTTTTATATAAACGCTCATCAATTATCCGGCTGATATAACATCCGTCTAGAAAGGCGTATTACAGTCCCATAACTCGCCTGAATTTCCAGGAACACTTGAGCCTGGCGATCCAACGAGTGGCTGCGACGCACGTATCCGCTCATTGCACTGAACTCCAAGCTAAGTGTTGACAAGCTATGTTGTACGCCTCTACGGAGACTTGAGACGATGCAGAATAAGGTGCTCCGTATCTGCACGAATAGTGACAGATACATTTAGTTAGTTGATCTGTTAGATCTAGCTGAATTTGAGACGGTCACTGAACATATCAGGAGGCTGTCTCAGAAATTTTTCGAGTTCTTTCTGCCAAAAAGCCCGCTGACGAGGGACGTCACGGCGCTTAGAAGTTATCATAATCATCCCCATAAACACGGGCTGATCTATGATTCATTGGATATCTTCCATGAACGGCGCGAAAGCTATCGCGCTTAGTTCACAGAAAAATTGGATAAGATAATGCACGCCTCTTACCTAGCTTTTTCATTAACTTTTTCCAGGAGGTTCCGAACAATTCTGACATTAGTTTGCATATATTAAAATGAGATAGGAATATCAAATTCCCAACGGAAGGAGAACTATCGTCAGTAGTTCTCGTATACGGAGGCTGAAGTGAATACCTATCCGCCCTCACGGACTCCCGCATGTGGAAGAGTTGAATTTGGTATATATTATAAATAGATTTCACCAGTGTTGTTATATCAACGATTTGATTCAATCCCATCCATAGAAATTTTGATTAAGTTGAAAGGGGTATATTTTTGAAAAAGATTTATTTTTGGTAAAAGTTTTGGCTTTTTACTTCTACATCATACAAACACCTAACTTGCAGACACAAACTGGAAGAAAAAGCCCTCTTGAAACAACTAATTTATCAGTGTTAGGAATCACACGTTAAGTAAGACCTCGTTAATCCTTAAGCTCGCACACGTTTCAACTTCTGAGGGTTATCGTTCGTAGGGGTGCGACAGCTGGTTAACGGAAAAACAGATTTTTAAACAGATCAATTTGAAATCAATTACTTTTTTCTTTCTTTGAAAGATCCCATATTTTTTTGCACAAAGATGGAGAAGTCGAAAGCCAAAACCTTTCTTTCCCAAACATATGTTTGTCTTATGAGGCATATATAAAAAGTTTTGTTTTTCAAATAATTCACTTTATTTAAATCAATGTACAACTATCTGGTACAAACCATGAATGAGTTTAAAGAGAGTTGTACCGCTATTAATCGTGTTCCTTGTATAAATCACAAAAAAAAAAACCAAGACTTTTGGACACCCTCAGTAATTATTATTATTCCATTTTCCATTGTGAAATGCAGCTGCTGATGAGGTTTATAGTATCTTGTGTGATTTAATGTTTTCTATTTAGGTCACTCAATTTGTCCCAGCGTAATATCTGAATAGTGATAATACATCAGTGATAAGCCTCAGTTCGCTGGTTGGATGTTTGAATATATGAGGATATTAATAATTTGAAAAAGGGTTTTGGACATACTCAAGGTAGATAATAATATCACCTTGAAACCCAAATCTTTTAGTGCAGCCCATACTGGAATAACAAAGCCTTTGACCATCTTTTCAATATACTTAGTGTATTCCTTTGTGATTATTCAGTCCTCAGGAGACTTGAGTGATTTACAAAAAATGGTGGAAAACTTTCAAAGAAAAGAAAAAACAATCAAGTTCAAACTAAACTCTTCTACAAAGATATGTAGATCATGCATAGAAGTTACTTTCAGATACAAACTGGAACAAAAATCCCTACTGAAATAACTACTATCATGTGAACATTGAATTAATGAGTTACGATATAAAATTTCACTTACAATCATTCTCAAGAGCGGACTTTGGAGTTTCGGAATAAGGCATGAAGAATATTGCCCCTCATCAGCACCAATGTGGATAACATTACAAGATAAAATACTGAATTCATTCACAACATAACGACTTAATGTCACGAATGAGTTATATCTACACATACCATAGATGACAGTACATACTGACATTCATTGGCTTATTTGATTTAATCCCGTCCATAGATATCTTGTTTAATTCGAAAGGGGTATGTTTTTAGGAAATATTAGTTTTTAGGAAAAATATATGAGAAATATACACCTTTCAATTCAAGAAATTCACCTTTTTCCATTCAGTTTGTACTCCAAACATTCGATATGGAACTCAATTACATATCATTCTCAGAAAAACTAGACTTTGTAAAATATGAAAGAGTATGTATATAAAATTTCAGTTACATGAAATATATATTTTGTCTTGAAAAGTTCAAAGAGGTATTGGTAAAAATTTTTAAGGTAAGTGTTGTCGACCTGAAACTTCTAGAAGGGTATATTAAGGATGACAGATTTCATGTAACTTTACACTTCATATCAATTATTTTTCATATATTACCTTGTGTAGCCTGCCTGTGAATGATACCCATTTCAATATCATAACGAATGTTTTGAGTACAAACTGAATGGGAAAGATTTTCTGAAATTCTATGTTCATGTGAAAATAGTTGTTTCGAGAGGGTTCTTTCCTTTCAGTTTGTAACTGTGAGAAACTTCTGTGCATGAACCATACATGTTTTTAAAGAGTATATTTTGAAGTTGGTTGCTTTTTTTGAAATTTTCATACATTTTCTGCATGGAGTTGGGGAAGTAGAAAAAAATACCTGTTTTCATTTGTATTTGACATTATTGTATTATTTAAAACTATTCAAATTTATTTTTTCACTCACGAAGTGAATATCAATTATGTTTACTACTCATATCACAATCAGACATCACATTGGTAATCACCAGAATAGCTCAGCTTAGTATTTTTCGTATGTGGTTGATTGGCTTCTTATCCTACTTGGTATATAATATACTATTATATCAATATTACTGGAGTTTTTTCCCAAAACCAAATCGTTATTTTCAACACCTCGATAAGTGTTTCGATCACCTTCAAGAGGAAGATTAAACAATGCATCACAAGTACTATTATATCAATTAAATAGATGAGTGAAGATCGTTTCTAATTCGGATCTTCCACTACTAGGTAGTAGAAAGAATTTTTGATCCGATAATAATGATATATAGGATCAACGGGAGTAATTTTTGGCACTTAGGATCGGATATGGTTGCCAGAGGTATGGGTGTTTTCACAAGAGAAGTGGGACACACTGTAAAAAAATCAACCCATATAAATACAGGGTGTTTGTTAAACATTCGGCAAGAGTGTAAGAGACTATTCCTTGGATTATTCTAAAGATATTTTGTCCTTTATGATTTTTTATAGGGTGCTTTGTTTTGAATATACGGAGCAAAAAGAAAGCAATTTATTACCAAAAATTACATATAATGTTTTTTAATCTACATGAACTGTTGAAAATGACTAGCCTCCGCTCGGATGCAAGAATCCAATCTTCTCCTCATCGACTCCCGAACTCTTTCAAAAACACCAGGATCGTTTTTCATTGCCTTAAACCCAGGAATTATCCAATTTCTCAAATCTTCCACTGGAGTAGTATAAAGTAATGGCTGGTTCGATTTATTTTCACTTGGTAGGTCCAGTGTAGCATGCTATACTTTTATTTCGGCTACGTTAATAACGTTAAAATTACCAAAATTTTTGTAGAAATTATTTTTCGTCCCGTATCTTCGAAACAAGGCGCTCTATCAAAAATCATCAAAGGACAAAATGTCCTTAGAATAGTCCAAGGAATAGTTCCTTAATATTTGGCCGCATTTTTAATAAACACCCTTTATAAAAGATGTAACAGAGAAAGTAATAAAATTGTTATTCCTTTTTAAAATTCGTTTAATCAAATCGTTTTTTTAATATATTTTCAACACTTGTGTTTGAAAAATGCTCAATCATCAAAATAACATATGATAGTTGTGTCAATAAAATTTTCAATTTCAAATGAAACATACAAAATGTTTATAATAAATTATGAAGCCATTCTAGAACACCCCAATTTGTACAGCCCTGGTACTTGTGTACTTCGGTACAGTCCATCCTGTTTATTAACACATACGAAAATATTACACTCAATATAATGAAGGGGCCATTCAAGGTAGTTTCCACTGTATTATTTGCTACATAAAAATTCTGCAATCCGTAGCAGACAAGAACCAAAGCTGAATACCTTGAAAACAAAAAAAATTCAACCAAAACTTGATTTATCAACCCCTGAGAGAGTACTGGGAGCCACGTAAGCTGCATTCACATTCATTTTGCAGGGGTGATGTCCCCTTTTCCAGAAGAACGCCTTTTTCCATTTCATTCATTTCTAAATTATTCAAAGATGTGCTGGCTGCAGAATTCCTTTGGCGACAAATATAGGGGGTGTTGCTTGGAGACGGAGTATCTCGGCCCTGTTGGCATAAAAAAAATTGTTATATTCAACGAGTAGTTTAGTATACAATTCAAAGATGTATAAGTCTTGTCACCTTCCGACATAATTTTCTATGCACATTAGAGTTCAGGACAGCCCAAAACTGTTTGAGAAAATGGTAATTCGGCTCAACAGATGTTACAAAAGATAAAAAGACTTCCATTTTGTGAGCTATCCTTGCTTTTCATAATTGCTATCCATTTGCTCGATTTTCTGAACCAATTCTTGTTTCTCTGAATAGTGAACTGAGTTTTGGTCCGCCTATTGGAACAATTATATCAAGATAAAATAAAAAATCAATAAAGCTCTGAATCACTTGTTATACTAAAATTGTTCAAATCTTTTTTGCTTATTTGTTTATGTTTTATTTAGTGTTTTTATGGTATATGGTATTTGACAAAACTTTATGATACTTTTGTATTTTTTATGGTGAATAAAAGATCCTTGCGGTTCATCAAAAAAATTTTTTGTTGTTGATCACTCATATGATTTATAAACCAATGCCAAAATTATTTAGTTCCGAGATCAATATATCATGATCGAAGACGAACCACAATCGTTTTTGTCTTGGTCACAAATATAAAATATTTTCAACAATTCCTTCTGGCTGTTGTAAATGAATTATTAGGATATTTGGGAGAATTACACTTTATATATTCTTGTGAATTACTGTGTACATTTTCCCAATTTGTTAAAGATTTGGAATCTTTATTCTCTTTAATATAATCAATTTGACTGGCACTTTTATGATTTTCTTTGTCATTTTAAAAAGTTTTTTTTTTCGAGATTTCTTCATCGACTGAGATATTGACCACTCATGGTTACTAGTAGAGTTAACAGTATATTAAGGGACCCAGTGTAATAGCCTGAACAAAGTAATGGAAAATGAAAGTAACTGAACTAATTATTTTATTCATAAATACATAACATTTTTCCATTCATTTACACTAATTTAACAAAGTGTTAAATTACCTTTTTTCGCCGGTAATATTACTCATGGATTGATTACAAATACTTACAATTTATAGAAAAAATCATCATTAGAGTGTAGTTGTAAATCCAATTTCTTAGAAATCAACTATAATAACTAAATAATACCAAATAAATCAAATTTGACATGAAATCTATAAACTGAAATGTTCTTTTATTTCAACCCCATTGTTGATAAGAGATTCTTATGCAAATATTTCACAAAAATTAACCAAAATATTGATACGATTTTCAAGTTTAATCTGTCTGTTCTGATCTTTTTCCTTCTAGGAAAATAATATACTATTCAAACATGAAAGAAGAAATGGCAACAAATAATAAATCTTCCAACCAAGAAAAAACTGAAAGTAAACATTTCATTTCACAAGACGTGAGAAACGGTTTTTAAAATTATCTAAAAAAACTAACGATTTCCGAAATATTTTCAATGGACACAAAAAATATTTTTCAACAAGGCAACAGAATTTTTTAAGCAAGCCTGGAAATATATTTCTCTTACCTGTTTGGAAGGCCCACAGCAAGTATTTTTAACACAGTTGTCATTTGTGTTGTTTGTTTTAGGGCAATCCAACACACAATCCTCTGTCGTTTCAACAGGTGCTCTAGAAGTAGTTGGGATATCTGTATAGTCTATGAACTCTGGTTGAATTGTAGTTGAATGGATTCCTTCATTGTGGAAAAATTCTTTCACTTTCTCAGCAATTTTCATATATTCAGAGAGATTGCGGCACCTTCAAAATGATGATCATATTTAGAATACAAATGAATATAACAAATATAACAAAAATGAATTGAAATAACTGAAAAATCAAGAGAATTAAAGCAGCGCTCATTTTATTGACAAAACTTTTGTTGTAAAATTGCTTTACAATGTGAAAAATGTGGGAGATCTTGATATTCCATCCACATCAACCGATATAGTAAGAACAAAATCCGATTTTTCATTAGGTTTTGCTGATTTAACATTTACGGAAGTAGATTATAATTCGGATTTGGATAGTGATAGTACTCAAGAACAAAACGATTCTGATAAGATGTCTGCTGAGAATGAAGGTGGAAAAAATATTTTGTTTTTACATGGATCATTTTATAATTGATATTTCAATTTTGTAGGTATTCACCTTTCTTTCGATGAAGATGCTTATCCCGTCGACCAATTTCTATTAAAAAATACTATTTTGATCCCTGAAATAGTGCGTCAACTAATTCTAAAAGGACCTTGCCAACCTGGGTTATTAGATGACTTCCAAGATTTTCCAGTTTCTAATTACAGAAAATTTTACGTTTCTTGGTACAAATATGAAAAAACGACTTTTGGACAGCGCAGCATACGTGAATTGTTAGTTTACTCTCCAAGAGGTAATTAAAATGTTTTGTTTTGTATGCTGGCTTTTTGAGAGTGTGCATTGTTTATTATTGAAATATTTCTTTTATTATAGTTTTGTGATATTATTTTTTTTCATAATGGGAAATACAGTATTACTTCAAATACCTGTGCCTTTTTACTGAATCTTGACGCCTAGTTATGGTGTGCTCCCGCACTTACTTTTTAGAATCCCCACTGATTGACACCCCTAATCTGTATAGTTAAATGTCCTGATAACAGTATTATTCAAATTAGAAAACACAAACAACCCAAATATGATAAACAAGTGATAAATATGATAAACAGGTATACTGAAGTATGTGTAGACATCCAATGTAATATCAAGGGGTTCAAGGTGAAAGTCAACCAGGAGAGACTGTTTAATATTAACATGAGATATTATGTTTAGACAAATGATCACCATATCCATATCATTTATAGTACACAATCTTGAATTATTCCGATATCATAAATTTTTATTATGGTTAGAAACAACTGAAGTGTTCTCAAGTAGAAGCAACTTTATTTTCAATATAACAAAATCAGTTCTTTGACAAAACGTCCTGCTCTCTATTGAAACAATTCCTTCATTAGTTAGTCAGATTACAAACAGCATCCAAATTTAGAGAAATTTAATGTTTTGCAACTCAATAAATTACTGTTACAAAGAAATTCAACTGAATATTTTTCTCAACAAAACAATACATATCAAAAATCAATGATGTAGTAGTAATCTTTATTATAGGATACATCCTAATCTACACTTCCCTGGGGAACACCAATGTTGATATCTATCTCATCAGATATTTTTGAACCAATTTTTGTTTTCTGTTTTCTTTCACTAAGATAACTAAGAAACCATGCCAGCACAGAGCCTGTTAACCCATAATAATTTAATTTTTTTATCAAAATGTTTCTGTTAATTGTTTCAAATGCGCGCTTGAAGTCAAGAAAGACAGCTACAGTGTATTTATTTTCATCACACGCATTTTTCCATCTAGAGAAAGTATACTGAATAGCTGATTCACAGGAATGATTTTTTCTGAATCCTGACTGTTTGCCTAAGAATAATTCATTATCATCCAAGTATGCAACTAATTGTTCGTAAACTGCTAGTTCAAAGTTGGTAGAGTATTAATTGGGAGAAAATCGCTTGCTTCAATTGTATTATAAAAACTATTTAAAGTACTTTTCTAAGTGGACTATGAACTGAAAGAAGAAAGCTGTGAAAATTCAATTTTGTAATCCAAATTACTATATGCTTATTTTTATCTGAAATCTACTTGTAATTCTTGAGGAGGAAATGAATACCGATTGATGACAGAAATTCACTCATATGAAGTGTTTCTAACATTGTATAACACCAAGAACAAAAATATACATTTGAAAAGGATGACTTACCTAATGTGGGCAGAAGCAATTATTCTGTCTCCTGCCAACTGCCAAACATGAAATTCATGAACAGCAAGCACTCCATCGACTTTAGCCAACAGTCTGTTTTGGATAGCGTCAACTTTTATGTGAGTTGGCACAGTTTGCAATAAAATTAAAGCAGAATCTCTGAGTAGAGGCCAGACTGAGTTAAGAATGAGTAATACCAACAGAATACTCAGAGCTGGATCGATGTAGTATTTGTATTCCCAGTCAGTTAGCCAAAAAACCTGAACAGAAAAAAATATCATTTATTCATAGGTTTTGCAAGTTCATCATCTGTCATAAGTACCATAAGTCATAACTAAATCAATTTGGTTTCTTGTGCTTCTCTTGAGCAAAAGTTACATATATTTTCATCAGTTACTTTCGCAAGTTCACAATTTAATACCTCAAAACTTGGCAAACCCCAAAACAATAAACACAACTCATGTTTCACATTCCTTTATTCCAATCAGTTGTTTATTGTTTGAGTAGCATCATCAACGGTAGAAATTCTTCCATATGGTGGTCGACATAGCTAATAATGCTAATGCTTTTTCAAATTGGAAATTTTTAGTTTTTGAAAATGTTTTAAGACCTATTCCATTTTTAAAAAATCGAGAAATGCTCATAATAATATGTATTCAAATTAACAACCAAATTATTTCATTTTGTTTGTTCGAGTATTTCATCTATTTTCTGAAATATCATAAGATATAAGCAAATACCACTTACCAGAGCTGATATTATCACAATAACAGATCCTAAAGCATCTGACATAACATGGAGAAATACCCCACGCATATTCATCTGACCTGCAGAATGAGTATGCCCCATCTCTTTTGCTGTCGCGGGTTGAAGTGTTGGAATAGGGTAGGTTTCATCATTTTCATTATCGTCAGTAATAGCTAGTTGAGTCAACCTATTCCGACTGTNACCATGTTGATACAAAATTTCGACGTTGAATTATAGTGTATGTTCTAACTTTAATTTTTTATAGGTATTTTCATTTTCACATTTCATATTTCTATACTTATTTCTATATTTATTTTTCACAAGCTTTGTCCACAAGATTTATTCTTAAGGACAATAAAGTATTATTATTATTATAACAGTGAACAACGACCAAACTGAAGAAAGAACTTGTATGGAAAGAGTAAAGTAATTTCCAGTGACCCAGGGACCATTTGAAAAAACAGAAAAGCAGGCAATGTTTAAAAACTTGAGTATGTGTGGAAACCAAAATGATTTGGACTCATTTGAAGATATGAAAATTAAACCAAATTCCAGTTAAAACTTAAACTCAATGACCCTAAACATCAAGTTAAAGACAGAAGCAATGAATAAAAAAAGTAAGGGCAATGAATGAGCATAGATATCATTGAGTTCACTTACTATAGTAGTCAGGTGCTTTTTATCACAATGACAATAAAAAATGAAGACAAAAAGTTTATCAAAAGAAAACAAGCTCTATGTATAATAATCTGATGAATAACAAAATTACTTTTACAGTCGATGTAGATTTCAATTTAGATATCTTGGGGAAAACGTTCTAGAGAGTGACAAAAAAATGGTATACCACTGGGTTCTTCTTTATAACTCAACTGAGAACTTTTTCTAAGTATTCAGAAATACAACTCAAAACAGCAGTTCCTCAATAAAACTTACAATTTCACATATTTCACTGGTTTATTTCACTTGCTAAAGCTGTTGAAACCTATCCTAAACTGCTGTATCTAAGACATATCTGATATCTTTTTGAAACACCAGTGTTAAAGAGAACAAAGCTTCTAGGATCTTCATCTTTTTGTTGTTGATAACTTTAGGTCGTAAACCTAGCTCAAATGACTCATATTTTCCTTCAGCACGCCTTCAACTCAACAGCGTACACACAGGCGAACACATTCATTGCAATGATTTTTTCTCTTTGCTGTCTCTGATAAATATCTCAACTGTTGATAACAATTTTTCAATGAACCACTCACCCAAATATTTTTTCAATAAAAATATAAAATGAGCATTGCATGATTGATCCATGATTTAGAACAAAAACCAATATTATTCGTTATAACAAATAAGTTTCAATGATGGATGAAAAAATTATATCAAAGTAGATTTGTGTGCTCTTTCTATGATACATTAATGAAGAAGAGTTTGTTACTGAACTGCAAAAAGGGTTTAATGAAGATCAAGAGAAGTTTCACTGTTATAAAGCATGGCCCTTTTGTAAAATATGTATTTTCAATGAATTGGATTTCTTTCATTAGGTAAATTTCGAGAAGTCCATTGAACACCAAATTTCATTAATGAGTTTTCGATTTCAGGGCCAACTTTAATAAATTATCAATGTCAAAAATCGAAAAAAATTATTAGCAATTCTGTTTTGAAAAGATCTGACCAAACCGCTGTATTCATGTAATTCTGAAATGGTGTATGTCAAAATTATGTCGAAACCCATTTTAATATCGAAATTACGTACAATATTCAATCATTTACCTCTGTTTTTCTGTACTGGTAAGTCCTAGGAAACTAAAATTTTGTATAAAGGTGCTTCTTATGTCTTAGATCTGTTCTAAGAAAGGATTTTCAAATATTCCAACTGGGGCGTCCTCCGTGGGGGTAAGAGACACGTTTACATATGAAAATTACCTTTTCATCACTGTTTCTCCGTACCGCTATTTTCGGAGACTGAAATTTTGATGTAGGTTCGTTTTATGTTGTAGATGTGCAATAAGAGAAGATTTTTGAATATGCCAACTAGGGAGGCAGCTGCGATCATGAAATATAGTTACCTTTTCATCACCGTTTCTCCGTACTGTAATATTTTCGGAGGCTGAAATTTCGTATGTAGGTTCTTATTATGTTGTAGATGTGCAATAAGAAAGGAGTTTTGAATATTCCAACTGAGGAGCCAGCCGTGGGGAAAAAAGGCGCGTCCATAAAACAAAATTATCTTTTCATCACTGTTTCTCCATACCCTTACATTTCCGGTGGGTGAATTCATATTTACTATCAGCATTGCACCCGTGCGGGTGATGAACAGATTTTGATAAAATGTAAAAAACTGAATTGGTGAGATAATTAAATGGCATATTCTTCAAAATTTATCCCCTTTTTCAATGAACACCGCATTTTGATGCAATTTTGACACAAACCATAGCAATATAAGAACATATACTATCACAGTCTTAGTCACGATTGTTGAGAACAAAACTGGGCCGTTAATTCGTGGACAAATGGAACCTAAAGTACCAATTGTTTTGCCAGCTACTGCGGCAAACATCATCAGTGGTTTGTGCATTGACGACAAAATTTATGTCGAAGTCAACGCACATAGCAGTAATGATGTCTGCCACAGTAGCAGAGGAAACATTTGGTACTTCAGATTTCATTCGATCAGCCACAGAGAGAGAGAGAGAGAAAGAGAGAGAGAGAGAAAGAGAGAGAGAGAGAAAAGTGTTTTTATTCATTTCATTAAAATTATCATGTATTTCCACAGAATAAACAAGTCATCAATCACACATATTGAAAAATAGCTTTGTCTGTCTCTGCAGCATTTACTGTAAACAGGCAACTAGATGGAAGAACCTTCGTTTATCTTTGATTTTTGTCTTTCGAGTTTTCTGTATGTATTCTTGAATGCAATGGTTTGTTTGGCTCTGGTATCACGTGACTAATAAGCTGATTTTTATTTACAAATGGTTTTAACAGTTTGTAAATGAAATTTTTATAATATCAATAATTCAGGTTGATTCTTCAATGAACAAGTAAATATATATCCATTAGTTATTTGAAAGTGTTCAACTCACCATGAAATAATAATAGTCCTATAAGGTTGACTAGAAGTCCAACTCCTCCTACAATAACGAGCAATTGAGGATCGTGGATGGTTTCCACCTCGATGAATCTCTTACATGCTTCTACGGTAATTGAAAAGCATAGGGCCACGAGGAATACAGCATTCACTAGGGCACCTAATACTTCGGCCCTAGCCCAACCAAATGTATTTTTCGCCCATTTCTTTGGTGACATCTATAAATATATGTCATTGAATTTGCATGTTCAATATCAAAAAATATGATATACAATATATTTTTAAACTATTCTAGTCGTATACTAATCAAGTTTAGTTTTAATTTTTAAGATATGTGCTCTTTTTTATATCCGAATATTAGGTGAAGAAATTGTAAAATGCATCAACAATCTTTGTAGAAAATTTATTGGTGATAGTTTAAGTGAAATATCGTTTTTCTTGTTTCTCTGAATAGTGAACTGAGTTTTGGTCCGCCTATTGGAACAATTATATCAAGATAAAATAAAAAATCAATAAAGCTCTGAATCACTTGGAAAACTTGTTGCTAGATTGATTGGTTCACGATATTCTTAATCTTTGTTTAATTTAACTTACATATATGATCGAATTGACCAATACTTAATAAAAATCCATTCGTTCAACAACACTTTATATTTTCTATACCAAAGTTCTTCAAACTGGTTCAATACTCAGTGTTTGATACTCAACAACACGTGTTGTGGCTTGAATTTATGTTGTAAAAATTTTGCAATATACATATTCATTGTATTGTATTATTTTTATTATCCCAAGAAACATTGGATGTTTATGAATAAGGATTTACCAAATTAACTGAAGATACAAATTTAACAAAATAATGATATATTGAAGTAATGAGAAGATAAGCAGTGAACATTCAAGTTTGTGAATAATATTTTAGCCGAAAACCTACAGTTTGTAAAAAACTTGATAAAAGATTAGTTACCGTTTTTGCAGGCTTTGTTCTGCCCATAGAAATCTACAGGGTGGTCGAGTGTACCAATTTAATCAAAATTAAACGACCTCATGCATTTATTTTTATGATATTTAGTATGTTATAAAAATATCCCTAGACTTTTCCGATGTGTGTAATTCATCATTACTAATACCTCTTCCAGAATAAGTTCCCTCTATTTTGAAAATCGAAAGTTTGAAAAATTTTATCTGTACTCTTTCAATACTCTGCTTATGAGTCTCATAAATTGTACTCCAATCGATACTTGCATATTCAAGTTTTGAAAGTACATAGATATAATATTTAAGTATCATAGCTTCAATACAATGAAACCATGAGAACTTTTTGTAATATATGATTACCAAATGTCAATTTTTGGTCAAAAATTAGCCCTAGGTCCTTGATATCATTGCATCTCTGTAGGTCAGAATGTTGAATAACATAGGGTATAACTCATAGTTTTACGCTCCCATACATTAAGTTTCAATGCATTATTGCTACATCAAGTAACAATATGTTCCAACTCCAACTGATACTGAAGATTTACACAATTACTTATATGATGAGTTACGAAAAAATCATCTACAAAACATAGTCGTTTACATTTCACATAAATCATCAATGAACAGTGAAAATAAAAGAGTTTCTAGGTTGAAACCCCAAGGAACACCAGAAGTAACTAGATATGTTCTAGACTCGTAACCATTGTCAAAAACAAAATGCTCTCTACCTGAGGATAGACTTCATGAGTTGACTGGCAGTATTTGGAAATCAAAATCCATTAACTAATTCAGCAAAGTACCATGATCAATTTTACCGAACGCTTTCGAGAAGTCTGTATATCAGTATATATTACAACAACTGGACTTTAATGCTCAATGTAATGCTTCAAATATGAATTGCATAATAGTTACTATAATAGGTTTGGCACAGTAGAGCGATTAGTAACAAAGCCATACTGATGTTAAATCAGACCTTTAACAGAGATATATATTCGATTATATAAAATAATGTCAAAGACTTTGAAAACAAACAAAATTGATGTCTCTATAGTTTTCAATAGTGACATCTTATCTGGAGCTGACCTTTTTTTTTATTTATTTAGAAAAAACCGCATCAGCCGTAGAGCTTTTAGGGGCAAACATATAAAATGTATTTAAATTATGCAGTTGTTTACATTACAGTTTAAATAAAATGTTACATTCTTTAAGAAATTCAATAATATTGCTCGTATTGGTATTTTGGAAAATTTCACTTAGGTCGGAGAGGATTTTATTGTTCAGTCTCTCAATTGTGAGGAGCAGCACTCCACCAGAACATGCTTAACAGTGACAGGCACTTCACACGCGAAACATTCTGGTGGCGGTTCTTTCCTCAGTAGATGTTCATGCATGAGGCGAGTATGGCCCAGTCGTAATCTGGTAATTATGACTTGATGGAACCGGTTTGTTGCTTTGTTGTTCCAAGGATATAATGTAGATTTGATTTCCTTAAGTTTGGAGGGTTTTTGAGACCAGTGGTGATTCCACATTTCAACAATTTTGCCATGGAACAAAGGACTTGAGATCTGTTGGCAATGCTTTCATACTGAGAGGCACATGCTCGATTTTCTAGGGCTTCCTGTCAAGTTTATCGGCTATATCATTTCCAGTAATCCCAGTATGTGAGGGAACCCATATGAGGGTTTACTGTCCTGGTATCTAGTTGTTTCATCCCCTCTTTAATCATATTTACCAGTAAGTGATGGGTATATATTTTCGACAAGGAAACAAGGGAGTTGAGAGAGTCTGACCTCATTTTGTTTTTCAGCTTTTTCATAGCCAATATAATCTCATTTTCGTGAATAGGATAAAACTGAATATGTGTAATTTTGTTAATATGATATGTTTAAACGAATAACATTTTGGAATATACTCCACTGAAAAAAATCACTTAAAAATGAGTTAAATTAAATCATGTCATCGATGACAGTACGTAATGATATTCATCCGCTTATTTGATTCAATCCCAGCCATAGGAATCTTGTTTGAATTGAAAAGGGCATATTTTTCAGAGAGATGCATTTTTGGGTAAGAAAGGTTTTGACTTTCTACTTATCCATCTGTATACATCGGATGTCCGCCATTGAGGATGACAGTGTTCCATGTATAGTCTATACGAGGTCAATCCGAACAGCTAAAAACGAATGTACGGGGTCTGATAAATTTATTAGTTGATACCCATATAAAACCTTCCACATAAATAATGATTATACCTCGTAATTATACCACGCCACCCATGCCATACATAGAAACTGCCGACTTTCGGTAACTATTTAGTTTTTTTTGTCATTCGAACTGACTTCCTAATACTATAAATGAAATTTCACCTCTTTCATATACTATAATGTGCAATCCTGTGAATGATATCCGATTCAATTCCATAATGGAATATGAAATGAATAGGAAAAAGTGTTTTTTGTAAAATTCAATGGTCATATAAAAGAAGTTATTTCAGAATATATTTGCTGCAGAGTTGTTTGAACTATAATTTAAAAATGGTTGATTTCTTTGACATTTAAAATTATTTCTATTGCAATATTTTACAAAAGCAGTTCACAAAACCTCTTGACGGATACCACTTTGCATCCATTAAATAACTTAGTGAACTTGCATGAAAGTGAAATTTATTTTGTTACTGAACCAAATGTACATGTGATAATAATTAGATACACAGTTTTGTGGAAGTCATGAACATTAGAAAATTCAAAATTAAAAGCTGAAATTTGAAAAAAACTGCATCTACTTACTTTAACGGATAAAAAGGCTACAACTAATGCTGCTACATCACTCAGCATGTGAAAGCTGTCTGCTACTAGAGCCATAGAATTTGTGATGTAGCCTACGACTATTTCCACGAAGAAGAACAGCGCAGTCAACCATAACATCGACAGCAAACGACATTTTTTGCCAGTAAATTTTCCCATATCAACTGCAACAGAAAATTTTATTATAATACTATACAAAATGTTACACAAAAAGATGGGAACATAAGGTCGAATAATTGTTGGGACCTATTTCGATGTTTTATCAAAAAACTCAATTCAGTTGTAATGTAAAGTGTTGTTTTATCTCGGTGAGGTTCAGAAGAATTTATTGTTTCCAAAAAACATACTATTCTTGAAAAATATGGAAGTTTGGAAGACAAAAATTGCTATTTTAATTTAAATCGCGCTAGTGTCAAGGCGTCTACTCACGACGTCACGTCTATGTTTCTGAACATTAAACATTAGGAAATATTCTCATTCGACTACGAGGGTTGTCTTTTATGTTTCGGGATTTGGCAACCCTAGTGTTGCAATCTGGCAACTTACAACTCTATCGTAGAGTTGGACATTTTTGAGCATATACGTACTCAGAACATTTTGACATACGCGCGCTATTTGTGTTGTTTACAGTAACTTAAAAAATTCATCTCGGCTCAAAAATGGAATTAAATCGTGAATATTTTCGTACGATTATTTTTTACAACTTTCGACGTGGATTAACTCAGCAACAGTGCATGGTTGAACTTAATTCAATTTTTGGCGATGAAGCTCCATCAGGGACCAGTGTTTATCGGTGGTATGGTGAATTCAATCGTGGTCGTAGTTCACTCCAAGACGAAGGTCGTCCAAAATCAGTTTATACAACATCTGGATTTGCATGAAAAAGAAATAAAAGTATCGTAAATTCATTATTAGATGCCAAGAATTGGTAATTTTTTTTGTAGCGAATAAGCCATAAACCACAGCGGTCCTCAAAGCCAACATAACCTATGCCATCGGTCAAATTCAGCCTGATTTATGCGCCAGAGTCATAGAAAATTAAACGTTTCGGATGCGCTCCACCTAGAGAAGCCGTGACGGACATTTGAACGATGATATATTCCACACATAATGGCATCAATAGGTCTTTCGAACGAATAAAATTTTTCGATAATACCTCACACTTACTTTGTTTTATTTTAATTTGAAGATACGGAGTGCTTGATGAAATACCCTACAGAATTGATCTCAAGGAATCACAAAATATTTGATAAAAACAAAAGATAAAGTGTTTGTTGTATTGTTATCGAAATACAAAACAAAATTCACATAAACATTAATTTCCTTAATAAATTCGTTGATATTTCCTTGTGACAAAATCTAACCCAATTTGAATCACATTGGTTTGAAATTTCATCCAATTTTCCATTATACGTTTTTCTATTATGCCATTCAATACCTTGAAAAAGAATAAAATTGATTTAGATAATTTCCCAATGGCAAACAAAAAAACTTCAAGCTTTATCAGGGTATGGTAACGAATTGCATTGATTTAAATCAAGGAGAATTTGGACAGCGATTAACTAATTTCAGTCTTTATACACATAGCCCATTGAAATATTTGACATAATTCAGTTACACCTCGGAAATGTTTTTCATTAGCTAAATATTTAATTTGCAACATTGTAATCAATGTATCTATGTTAATATTTAATTATATTCCTATCCGTTCTGTTCTATATCCCCAACAATTGACGCGTATAACGTTATCACTTGCGGCATGACGGGTTCTTCAAATATTAAAACTCCTTTCGACTGATTTTAATAAACAAGGGAAATCATTGACGCGTATAACGTTATCACTTGCGGCATGACGGGTTCTTCAAATATTAAAACTCCTTTCGACTGATTTTAAATAAACAAGAGAAATCCGATTCGAGAAACATAAATGTCAAGGCAGAATTCACTTTTCTATAATCAAAAGATGTGTGCTATTTTTGAATGAAACAACCTACCACCATTACATTAAACAAAGATTGACTGAAAGAAAAAAGAGAACGTATGGAAAAAGCACCAGCTTCGCATGAGCATATCACGGCGAAATAATACATTTTCTTGAATGTTTCAGTGTGAATATGAATTGCAAAAAAAATTCTCATTAAATAACCCATGAACTCTGATAAATACGCATAATTTCATTTCAATAGCTCTTTCAAGAACAACGTTTTTGGATAATGGCCTAAATAATGGGTTTTCAAAAATCGATGGTCTGATACATATAATGACAACAATCTTGAAAAAGATATGTTTTCTCTGAAATGCCGATAGTTTGTTTAAAGATAATTGACCCTTTTGCGAGAGGATCGGCAGTTAAGTTATGAATTTCTTATCAATGAATATTTGTACTGGCTTAATGGGCCTTAATGGAAGCAAAAGCCATTAACATAGAGAAAGAGAGAGATGAATATTTGTATTCGGTAAATTACTGATCTTCACCAATGAATATTTATAAATTTCCCCAGGAAGTCGTAAATCAGATAAATTATACTAACTCACATGTTTGCCACACATCAAAACTGTAAAACTCTTCTAAAACGTGGGTTTCACTAATCAATTAATATCTTGAAATGTTAAGCACATTCAAATAATTTGGACAATTACAATACAATATTAGAAATATACTTTCTATGTCCAAAATGAAATAGCCCCGATATGATAACACAAGAACAAGAAAAGATTCACTTTTCATGGAAAATGTTCACTTGGAACTTTTATCATTATAGCTGAGGCAACTGAGCCTTCAGGAAACCACATTGGTAGATACCACTTTAGTAAACAATGAAAAAATTAGAAATAAATGATATGATGAAAATGTGATACAGAGTGGTGCCTTTTTAATCCTAAATTATTTAAAAAATATCATTACAAATGGAAATATAGGTAATCAGTTCTACCTGGGTTTCCTCACTTATTATTCTGACCATTTGTCATTTTCATCATAAAGCAAGTTTATCGTTAAAACAGTTGAAACCGTGAGTAACAATTTCAAGACACTCTAAAAGTTTAATTTTTGTACATTATTCTTCTGAATGCAATATTTGATGTCACGATTGAACTTGTGCCCCTCTGCAAAAAAAATTACAATATTGAATGGACTTTTCATTCAAATAACTTTCTCTAGGTGTTCTTTTTATGAAATGTTGCACAAGAACCACAACTTACCTTTTAACGTGTGATTCCTAATACGGTTGCAGAATCATCCCAGCTTCAACCAGATAAATTCTCTCAAAAAAATATCTGGTCGAGGCAGGAATCGAACCCATGGTCTTTCGATCGTGAGTCGAGCGCACTACCACCGCGGCCAATATACCGGGTGTCCCACATTTTATGTGACAGGCAATATCTGGTTTGTTGAAGGATATACACAAAAATGTTTCATACAAAAGTTTTAGGAGTTCATGAGAGCTATATTTTGATATAATTTTTAAATATACAGGGTGNTATACCAAAGAGCATACTATATAGCTTGTTGAAATAAAATAAAATAATGTTGTTGGGTTTACTGAATACTACATAAGGACACATTGTAAAAATAAATTTGGATAGGCAATATTGTGAAATTAATTTTTATATAGCTGAAAATTGTTTTATATAACCACATCAGTTTTAATCTTCCTCTTTGAAGATGATCACTTGGTGATCGAAACACGTGTCGAGGTGTTGAAAATAACGATTTGTTGGGAAAAAATTCCAATAATATTCATTACTACACCAAAGGTTCCAAACAGTGCATCATAAGTACTATTATAGTACTAGTCAAGCCCTGTCATTTGATACCCATATTGAGGTAGTCGTGAAAAAATATGTAATCCGCCATTTTGTAGCTGCGGCATAATCCGCCATTTTATAGCTGCGGCATCTTGATTTTGCATCTTTTTCAAAGTGTACTACCAACTATTCTACTAGTCAAGTCCAGTCATTTGATACCCATATTGAGGTAGTCGTGAAAAAATATGTAATTCGCCATTTTGTAGCTGCGGCATCTTGAATTTGCATCTTTTTCAAAGTGTACTACCAACTATTCTACTAGTCAAGTCCAGTCATTTAATACCCATATTGAGGTAGTTGTGAAAAAATATGTAATCCGCCATTTTGTAGCTGCGGCCAGCTTGGATTTACAATGATTGTGAATTTATCAAAATTGTATTGTCATCAAAATTCAATGTGTGTGCCAAATATTAGATCAATATGTCAACAAGAAGGGGGTCAAACTTCAATTACCAAATTTGACTCAAACAAACAGGTCAAGCTAAATAAAACCGTTTACTAGTTATAAACCTGGTACCCAAAATAGGGACCAAATCAAGATTAAGTATAGTTTCAGGTGATCGGAAGTCAAATGACAAATAACTGTGGTTATCCGGGTTGGGTAGCCTTGGTTCATTAGGGAGGTTGGCTTCGAACGTTTCGCCTATGGCTGCGATGGGCATCTTCAGCGGACGTTTGCACGTTTGACCCAAATGCCCCGTTTATATATAACCAAAGTTCACATCCGAGATTAAATATCTCGAACTGATTCTAAAATGAAGTGCTTCAATAAGAGTTCCATCAAGAGCTTGTTTTCTCCGTATGAAATTTTGGAACTAGGCACGGCGAGTGTGTGTGTTTGGGAGGATTGGCATTAGAGTTATTTTTTGCCAGAGTGTTGGAGATATATTCGAGAATGTTTATTCCTTTTATCAAGACATCTACAAGAAATTTAAAACATTGCAGTAAAATTGTAAAAAAAAATAGGTAAAAAATGTACGTACTAACTTGAGGTTAGAGTAAAAAGTCAAACGTTGTAATGAAAACGCTGGAGTACTGTATAATCTTTCTTTTAAAACACCCCATTAAAAAAGTCAAGTGGCGTGAGATCGAGTGATCTCGGTGGCCAATCCCACGGCTCTAAACGCCTAAAGCAACGATCGTCGAAGAGTTCGTCAAGTTTCCTGGAAACTTCCTGGGTGGAATGAGCTGGCGCTCCTCCGTCCAGTTGAAACCACGAATTTCTATATTCCTCTAAAGGCAAATTTTCAAGAAAATCGGTTACAGTCGTTCTTAATATTTGGAGATATCTCTCTGCATTCAGTGTGTATTCATAAATTAAAAAGCTAATTTTATTGTTCTTCAGAACACAGAAAAC